CAGCCTGCCTCCTCCTCCTCCTCCTCCTCCTGTTCTTCTCCTCCTCCTCCTCCTCCTCCACCTCCTCCTGACTGACTGAGTGACTGAGTCCAGATCTGAGAGCAGGACTTTGGAGCTGGAGCTCTGCTCTCTCCTCAGCACCACCCCCTCATCACAGTTGGGTTGCTACTGTATTTGGACTGTTTGTCACCGGAGTATATTTAGACTGGGAAAAGAAAAAAAAGAACACACACACATATGAACATGCACATGAAGAGGGTAATCCCACAGATTGTCAGGAGCCCGGAGTAAATACTACAGAGGAGCAGTCGTCCTACACACAGTGGCGGTCAACAACAAGTTCTTTTTCTTTTTTTCTTTGCCCACATGCAATAATTTATTTTTGATACTCATAAATAGGAAAGGAGTCAAGGAACTACAAAGGATTAAAGTCAGGGTGGAAATAAAGAGGTTTCAGACAGACCAGACCTCCTTATATGATTTAGTCAGAGTCGACCTTTGAGGTTAAAAACAAAGAGATCAGCCTTTGGTATTGAACAGAGACGTTAACAGCACTGATCGTTACACAGAGATAAACAACTATTAACTTTTCTGTAGCTACAGATTGAACTGAAAGCAACATTGTTTACAGGCTTAAAGTGTGTCACTATCAACAGTGAACATGGCACAGGAGCTGCTGTCATCAGTTACTGCTGTCATCAGTTACTGCTGTCATCAGTGGTCAACAGGAAAACCTTTGGTGAACTGTTTCAACAACACAGGAATGAGATACATTTGGACACAAAAAAAGTTCAATCTTCAGTTCATCTGACGTCAACATGGCTGATCAACCTGGGACCGTGGCACAGGTTTGGCTGTAAAAAATTATGGTTTTCTTAAATGTAAAAATTTGGCAAAAAAAATATCACTGCAAAAAAAAAAAAAAAAAAAACATTAGCAAGAAAAGGTGCTAATTGTTAGCTTACTTCAAAGCCAGTGACAGAGGAGACACAGAATTATATCTATTTTATTGTAATTGCTCCTGTGACGATCCACTGGTCAATCACCATCTCTTTATTGGGACGTCCTGATTTGGATGATGTTACGTAAACAGCATTCACTTTTTAATTGTTACAAAATCACAAAACTCTGACACAAATTATTAAAGTAAGGAAAGTGTGTCAGAGCAGTGTTCCTAGTTAAAGAATTAATTGTATTGACTGAAGGATTGATTGTGGATTCAGGGAGGTGTTGGAACAACAGGAACAAATAGGACGGTTGAGAACACGTCTATATATATATATAAAGAGAGAGAGAGAGAGAGAGAGCTCTGAGACTATGTAGGCTGACCATTCCTTTTGTCATGTGACAGGAAAAAGCCATCTCCTGTGACTTGATCCAAAGAATTTGGTTTTACTGTCTCACGGGAGTCCAACACAGTAGAAATGATCATTTTATGGTGCAAACGTACCGTCATTTGTTCCGTCTCCTCGTTGTTCCCTGGGGTGAAGACAAACAGATGGTTTGCTCCTGACCTTCTTGGTTCAGCCTCCGAGCGACTCAGGTAGATAACAGCAGGTAACTTTAACAAACACAACTCACCGTGCGATTGGTGTGTTCACTGCCAGATGAAATATTTACCCTGTGGCTCTTCAAACACACAAACACCACCGGGTTCACAAGTTGTCTAGCAACCTGCTGACATCCATCCCCACAGTCAGCAAACATCTGACAGCTACATCCGTGTCACAAAAACCAACATGGAGAAACCCAGTCGTGACTTCATGCTGATGAACTGCCACCGTCTTCTCCTCCTCCTCCTTCTCCTCCTGGTCCTCCTCCCTGTTTGCTGCATTAACACCTGATCACAGACCAGCTGTGTCCAAAGTCTGGATCAGGGCCCAATCAGGACAATCATTGTCCACCTGGGTCTCTGCAGATTTTTCACCTTAGGAAGGAAAGTGTGTATAATTTTCAGAACAATTCATCAAAATATTGAACCATTTTTTTAGCTAAACTTAAAACTTTGTATATAGATATTTTTGGGCTTATATTTTGGTTAAATTTTTTAATGTACACTTTACTAAATAATTAGCTCTAAGTTTCTAACATCTTTTTAATGTACACTTTACTCAATAATTAGCTCTAAGTTTCTAACATCTAACTTTTTTACCTGTTTTTTATATTTCACCTTTAGCATGTTGCTAAAGATCAAGCCTTTAGCAATTTGCTAAAGGTACAGCATCTCAACTTATGTTTTCCTTTTTTTTTTTTGGCTTTTAGAAAAGGCAGGTTGTATCATTTCCAGCACAATTCATCCCAGTGTGTATTTATCTTTTGGCTAACCTAAAAAAAACACACATTCGTAGCTGGTTTGGAGCTACCTTTTTAGCTAGTAGCTCAACTTATGTTTTAGTTCCAAATTAGAAAATAGTTCAAAATTTCTATAACTTAGACCTGTTTAATTTTCCCTGAGCTAATTCTTATCGCTAAGCTAAGCTTGCTAAGGCTAAGCTTTCCCTTGGCTGCCTTATTGTCATTGTTATAATTTTAGGTCTCACCTTTAGCAATTTGGCTAAATTGCTGACATTTGATTATTGTCAGTTTGATTTTGTTAGTCTGCTGTTGGACAACAGTTTTATCACTGTTTCATAAAATGTATAGATTATTGTAACTTAAAACGCTCAGTAATTGTACTTTTAGAGGGTTTGCGTTTATTCGTGTGACTGTTCACAACGCTAACATAAACGTTATTATATTTGCGTCACGGTCCTTGTGTAGATTTAGCTGAATGAGCCAGAGACTCATTTTATTATGTCTTATAAAATATTTAATTTTATAAGACGAAATGAAATGAACAGGATGTGACACCACTTACTATTCCAACTGTAAGAATATATTTTATTGATATTTGGACACATATCAAAACTGGAGTAAATGACACAGCAGGTGAACTTATAACATGTTAAATTATTAAATGTTAAAAGTGGTTAAAGAAGAATTTGTTTTTAGGGCATCTGACATGTCAGTGTTTAACTCCGTCCATTATTTTTTAAACATTAATCCAAAGAAATTTTTTTGCAGAAATAATTATTAGCAGTAGTTCTAAAGCTGGATATCTAGTAAATAAAATTACATTTGATCAGCTGTTAGAAGCACTAGGGCAGTACGCAATACTTCAAGCTTTATACAATTGTTTCCGTCTGATTTCTATACAGTATTTTCCATTAGCCTCATGCTTTCATCAGCTGGGGTTCAGCGTCGTACAGCTGGAAAAAACATTTTATCACATTTTAAATTAAAACAGTGGAGAAATGTGGATGAATGAGGTAAAGTGAGCGAGATCTCCGAGGCTGCGAAGAATTCTACAACGCTTCAAACTCATCGATCCTCTGCTTGGTGTTGCCCTGACGGATCTGACGCAGGGTCTTGTACTTGTCACGTCTGGCTCGCTTGTTCTCGCTGTGGATCAGGTCGTTCTTGGTCGCCTTGTTTTCATCGTGGGACTTGGCCAAATCTGACCTCAAGGCCTGAGGAGGAAACAGGAGTTTTCAAGCAATTACTCAGTACAGGAGTAACAGTGGTGGGTTGGGGTTAGATTCCCAGTTTGCTACATCTGTATCTATACAGACTGTAGACATTCAAAGCAAAAATGTTTCATATATATAATTATTATATAACATAATATTCTACATAAAAAATTCTAATAAATAAAGTCATTTGGCCTCAAACTGCTGGTCTAACTGCAGATCTGGTTGTTGCCTTTCAGTACCGTGGTCATGTCCTCTAGTACGCGGATACCCATAGTGTGGTGTGGCGCCCCCCTGAGGTCATGAGCTGCTACTATGATGTGTGAAAAATGTGATGGCAGTTTGGATGGTCTCGTCTGACTTTAGACTTAAACCTAAACCATTCCTCTTGGAGAACACTTATGTTGTGGTTTAGGCAGACACAGGTGATCAGCTGTTCTCTGGCTGTCGTATACTGTTGGGAGTTTATCGGGGGAACTCACCTGATTGACCTGAGTTGATCTGTACGTATACTGTTGGGAGTTTATCATCAAAAATCCCTTTGTTCTTCCTATGAAATGTTGCCATTTCCACTGCTGTGTGTTTTGAACCAGCTATACTAAAACATGTTGTTGTTGTTGTTGTTGTTGTTGTTGTTACTGTAGGCTAAACGCCTGCAATGGTTGTTCCTTTAAAATTACCATGAGCTGTTTTTGCAGCCGTTCGTTCTTCTCAGCCTCCGTGAGTCTGTACTCCTCATTGCGATGATCGTTGATGCCCTGTGTCTGCAGCTCTGCGCTGTAGGTGCTGTTATCCTCGCTGTGCTCGTGGTCGCTCTCGCTGTCTGAGGAGGAGCTGGAGGAGGCGTGAGCATTAGGAGTGGAGGAGGTGTTGGTCCTCACCAGGTGCAGCTCCTCCTTGGTCTTCAGGAGACTCTCCTCCACTTCTACTGCCTGGTGTTTGACCAGGACAGTGAGTGTTGATGAAGAGAAGAGAAGAAGAAGAAGAAGAGAGTTTGAATTTACAGCTAATACTAAACGCCCCCTGGTGGTATTGAAGAAGAGAGTTTGAATTTACATCTAATACTAAACGCCCCCTGGTGGTATTGCTGTTTTTCTCTACTTTGTAGATTGTGGATGTAAAGTAAAAAAATGTAACTGTTTCTGAAATAATTATTTGTGCACCACTTTTGACTTACAGATCACAACCAAACCACCAAAGGGAAAGTACCGCACGTTATTTCTTAATTTTTACGAAGCCAAAAATAAATCTTTTTAGACTTCAAAAATATTTCTTTTAGCAGAAACTCTTGAGTTCGTGGCTTCTTCTGTCAACATCTCACCTTGCTGTGCCAAATCTCAGCCTCCGTCTCTTTGACTCTCTTGTCCTCCTCCAGCTGAGCGATCTGGGCACTGTATTCTGCCAACTCTGCAGCCTGAGGACAGGAGAAAGATGGTGATTTGTCAACAGATTTTGAAAATGAAATGAATGTGAATGTATTATTTTCAGTATGTGTAACTGGAAGCTCCCAGAGGAACTTCTACTTTGGTTTAGTTTTTACTTGCATCTCAATGCTAGTCCATGTACGCACTCTGCTGCTCAGCACTACTATAAGACTGCACCCTCTTTTCAACTGTATACTTTGTTGTTTACTGCTGTGTGTAGCTTCAATAACATGCGTTAACATACTATGTAATTAAAAGATGTGTTTGTTTTTACTAATGTACATATTTGTATATGTTATGGCATCAAATCAAAGGGCCTGGTGAAAACACAAGAAAACACCACTAATAATAAGTAATTAAATCAAAGAACTCTTCTCCCAGGAAATACAGCAGTCAACACAACATTATTATTGACAGAAGTTAGAGCCAAGTTCTGATTGGTGTACTTGTGTTTTTCCTCCCAGTTAACTCAGTGAAAAAAAATGTTTTTCTTCCTTTTTTTGGTCACTTCAACATTTGTTATCATTTTACCTTTCTCTAACAAAATGATTCAAAACGTGAGATTTGTTACAGCTGAAGTCTCACAGTGAGAACGTCTTCCAGTTCCTTTTCTCAGGCAGCGCCCTCCATAATCATGGAAAGGCAGGAATTACAGTCACTTAAAGTGTGTTTGTCCTGGATGTGGAAGCTTTGTTTGTTTGTTATGACTGTTTTTTTTTTGTTGTTGTTGTTCTCATGTGGAGGATTTAAGGACACTCACCAGCTGCTCCTGGCTCTTGATCTGGTTCTCAGCCTGCCTGGCCAGCTCCTCTTTGGCGATGATGGCCTCCATCCTCTCAGCCTCCAGCCGGGCTGCCTCCTGCTCCACCTTCCTCCTCTCGTCCTCCAGCTTTATGGCCCGGTCCAGCTGCTCCTTGAGCTCTGCACCAAGAAAGTCAGTCAAACTGAAGGATATTGTGTTCAGTCTTATACAGTAACAGTGAGAACTGATGGATTTATACATTGACTGTCACTCCTGGACTTTTTGACTGTTGGATTTGTTTCCGTCTCTTGTCCCAATTATGTAATCGATTGATGGCATTTCAAGAGCAAAAACTTCTTGTAACAAAACAAAACACTATTAACCCAAATGTATCATAAAAGACTCTCTGTACACAGTACATCCAGTGATTTAATAAAATATTTATTTGACCTCTATTTCCTGCTCGGTTCATCTTCTATTCTATAGTTCATTTTTATTAAGTATTCTTTTTAATAAAATGACTTTTCCCCACAGGGATGAATAAAGTTAAAGTAAAAGGAGTTTTAATAAAATTACTTTTTAGGGATGAATAAAGTTAAAGTAAAAGGAATAAAAGTGTTTAAACTATAATAATATTTGAATAATATTTGTGTGTGTGACTGATGTGACCAATGTGTACTTAACATAATCAGCTCCGGTGATACAGTAAATACAGGATTGTTTGGCCAAACTATCACAGACTAAACAGCAGAGGGCAGTAAAGTCACATTACACGCACTTAATAATAATCTCTGACCCAACAAACAAATCTGAGCTCTGTGAAGAGAAGCTGTTTTAGTTGGTCTCACCTCTCTCTGTTCTCTTGGTGGTCTCCTCGTACTCATACAGCCGGGCCATCAGCTCCACCTTCTCTCTCTCCATCTGCTCCTTCTCTCTCTCGATGGCCTCCCTCTTTAACCTCTCACTCTCCAGCCGATCCCTGAGGAAGACGCCCACCGTTTGGTTGTTTCGTTGTAAAATGTATTACTTTTATAAATACAAATACGTATTTTATTTAGTTTTAATCTCAACCTATGTGACCCCTGTGACCTTTGCCCCACCTCTCCATCTTCTTCTGCAGCCTTTCGTCTTTGGCCTGAGCCTTCATCTGCTGCACCTCAATGCTGTCGGGTTTGCGGCGGCGCATGTACAGATCGTGGTTGCCCATGCACAGCTGCAGGATGCGTTTGTTGACTCGCAGACGTGGAGCGTAGAAAATAAAATCCTTCAAAAGGGCAAAAAGGTAAAAGAGTTTGGATTTAACAGAAACGTTTTTTTGTTCATCTTTTACTTTTTTCCTGCAAAGGTGCATCATAATAAAAACCGAATCAGAGATCAGTTTCACATAAATTCCACACAAACACACACATATTGTGCTTTTTATTTGAATGAATCAGATTCCTCTGAAATACTCACTGGAGCTTTCTTGTCTATGGGCTTGATGACAAATTTCTTATCACTGAAGGAAATGTTTCTGATTTCACTCCAAGGGAAGCCAATCTTTGGATTCAGCCTAGAAGAAAAGAATCAAACAGTATACAAACTGGAACTGTAATAGTTGCTGACAGTAGTAGGGGTTTGACTGTTGGAGTGTTGACCTCCAGTCACATCTCGGGGTCATCCGGTCACTGAGTGGACAAAGATGAACTCAACCACTCACTTGTCATCTGTCTCATAGATGTTGAGTCCCAGAGCGTCCACTCCAAGCCACAGGTCGGTGTTCTTTTTGTTCTTGATCTCAAAGTAGTTGACCCCGTACATCTCCAGGTCCTGGGCGATCTTCAGATACTCAAGCATGGCCTCCTCCCTGTTCAACAAACACACAGACCTCAGAGTGGCTCGTTTCCTTGTACATGTTCTGCACCGCCTTGATGTACTTTTTGACCACTCACGTTTTGTTAAGGCCTTAGTTTATCTGTTGTGTTTAGACAAAACCTGGCTAATTTTATTGTATGTTTTCAGCTGGTTCTGATTCTGTCTCTGTAAACCGCTCCACTAGTATTGCCACCTTGAACATCTTGAACCTTTATCTCCCTAACCTGCTCTTTTTTTCTACGTTTACCTCACTGACAAAAGTACTTTTCTTTTGTAATCTATGGACTCCTTCTTACATTTATTTAATTAATTATATCTTTGCCTCAAATACGTGATAATAACAGAACGCTCATTCATTGGATGATCCTGATTTTTATGTCAGAACGATAAGACAGACAGCAGGATAAAATGAACAGATCAAAGTGTTGATCAGCTGTGACTCACTTAAGCATGGAGCGATGTTCCTCGTGCCAGCCTTGGATTCTGTCCTCCCATTGGTCCTTGGACAGACTGTGTTGTTCCAGTACTCTGAGGAGAAAGACATGACATCAGCAACCCACACCACAGGAAACTGTCAACAGCTCAATCAGACACTGGGCTGTTAGCCTCTGCTCAGGTGAAACTAGCAACAGCACATGTGTTAATATTATTAACATGTGCTATTATTATGTTAATATAATAGTATGTTTGTGTTAATATGGGACTCATTCCAGGTCTGGGTGAACTGCTGCTCCAGACAATAAGACGGTATAAATGCAGGTTGAAAAGTCCATAGTCCATGGTCTTTATATGGTCATTTATTTTCCAGGTCACCAAATACCATTTGACAAATAAATGAATGATAAATGATGCACCAATGTAGCAACATTTTTCAAATGATTTAATGGTTTTACAAAATTAATGAATACTAAGAAAACACACATTTACATGAACGCAGACACTAGCGCTGCCTCGAAGCATTTCTGTTCCATTTTCAGATATAGAAACAGATAAAGAGTATATACTGTACCTTCATGATGTACTACATTACTACTTTTAGTAGTAAGGTACTTTTTTTTATTTTTAATATCTATTACTTGCATCTTTCGCTCATTCTAAACCACTCAATAATGTGTCACATTGGGTTTTTTTACACTTTACTCCTGTTTATTTTTCAGTGTCGAATATGTTGAATAATCTGTGAATCTATGAAGCGACACAGGGTTACGTTTATTCCCTGTTCTCTACAACAAAAGCGTTCCGTCTCACCTCCGTGGCAGCAGGCTGTCATTGATCAGGTAACCCTTGTTGTGGTTGGTTTTGTTGTAATCTCCATACTTGGCCTGGACAGCGTAGGAGGCCAGCAGGACGGCAGACTCTGGAGGACAGTAGACTTCATCGGTTAGGATGTCCTCCTTCACCTGCAGGAAGAAGAGCCTCCTGGTGATGTCCTGGATCAGCTCCTCCATCACCTCCTCAGGGTAGAACTTGGCCCTGAGTTTGAACTGCAGAGGAACCTCCTTCTTCACATCCTGGCCCATGACCTGAACCCAGGAGAGTGGAAACATTAGGAGGTGATAAGAGGAGGGACGAGCAACAGCACCTCGCCACAGGGCAGAGGGCAGATAACGCAGGAGTCAGTTGTGATAGGAGACACAAATGACTCCTTCTTTTTTGTTCTTGGAATATTCTAGAATATGATGTTTTTTCAGGCTAAAAAAAACTGGTGCTGGTCTATATTTATTTATTAACTATTCACGTGGATTTCTTTTGTAAATATTACTGAGAGATGAAATAATATATCATCAGATTGGACTGAATTATAATCCCATTAGATTAGATTAGACTTTATGGATCCTACCATATAGCAACAGAGGGTGTGAAGGGTTGGTGACACATACACAGCGTAAACAAAGAAACAGGTTCCATTTTTATTTTTTTAATGAACTTTCTTGAAGAAGGACTGAACCCACCTTCTTTTCATAGTTGAGCCACGTGATGAGACCCTTGGTGTCCACAAACTGCAGCCCAAAGTACCAAGTCTCACGGAGACCGATGGTTCTGGCAACCTTCAACGCAGAGAGAGAAAAAGGAAACAGAGAAGACATATTAAAGGCATAAAAAATGAGATTTTTTTCTCCTTTGCCATAAAGTACGCTCAGCATCTGTGAACATTGTCTAAATGTTGACACTGGTGGACAAATTCATTTTAATTTAAATATTTTCTTTAATTGTTCCAGAGCAGAGAAACTGCACTGATCTGTAAATGTATTTCCTTTGTTCTCCAGGATTAGCCGACTGTAGGAGTCACAGGGTTTAAAATAAAGTTCAGGGGCAATAGCTGTGAACATGATGATGTGGGTGGGGCAACATTAACAGCCCTATCTGGAACACTGTAGTCAACAGGATATATATATTTATATTTACATATATTTACCTGTTCCACAGAATACTGCACATATACATATATATATATACATATATATATATGTATATGTGCAGTATTCTGTGGAACAGGTAAATATATGTAGGCATCTTCAGTGCATTATCAGTAAGTGACGTCTACATTATGATGGGAAATAGTAACAGTAAAGTCATATACAACTGAGTCATATATTATTGCCTAGCAACATAGGACGGTATGTATAAACATTTACTGTGTGTGTGTGTGTGTGTGTGTGTGTGTGTGTGTGTGTAAAGACCTGGTCAAAGAGCTGCTTCCCTGTGGTGGCTGGGTGGAAGGAGAACTCCAGCTCCGCGTCCATGGTGGTGACGCGAACATTGACCTGCAACAGAAACACAGGTCCTTCAGTCATGTGACCACAGAGTCTGGCTTCACCAAAGCATTTCTATTGATACAGATCGTGACAGGCATCACACCAGGATTTTTTGGATGGGCCACCTGATTTATTTGGACCAAAACATTATACAAAAGTTTGAAGAAATTATACATCTTGAGAAACATTTTGTCTTGAATTCTTTTTACACGTCAGTTCATTGTATGGCGTTTCTGCAAAGGGTTTTCTATGTGTTATTGTTCCCAACATGAGAACAAAAATAATGTTTGAAGGATGTTTTTGGTACTTTTGTTTCATTTTAGAGAGAGAGTTTTCTTCAAACAATTCTTGGTGGTGTGTTTAGACATACTATTATTTTTAAGGTGTGGTGAATTGTTACATATCTTTACGTCGTAACATCAAATGAACGGCCCACCCATAAATGAGTCATTGATCAAAGCTCATTCTATTAACAGAACATATCAAAATTGGCTGCACCTGTCATTTAATAAACATATTAAATCTTTTTTTTCTGTATTAAAAAAACATGTTGAAGAGTTGAATGGAATAATTCAGGATTGTTGAAGAGTTGAATGGAATAATTCAGTTATTTGTCAGTGTGAAGCTGTGGAGTGGAATGTTCATAAGCCATAATTGCTCTCTATCTCATTAGACTTTGGACTGTCCTCGGTGAAGGTTGCTCCTATGCTGATTACATTTTTCTTTTGTATGAGTCACATTCAGACTTCACACCACTCTCTCCTGCACTCAACCTCTCCCATCAGGAGACAGAGTCACCAGACGTCCATACATCCCTCCACTTCTCTTCCTACACCAGACGACGTCTCGTTCTCCACACGGTGTTCCCCTGTGACCCTGGTGTGATGTGCAGTCGTAGCAGTTACACAATCGTTTTTATAGTACTGCTCTGTAGCACACCCCGGCTGTCATAAAGATAAACTTGACGAAACTTGGGTAACAAAAACTGAAGCCTAACATTTATTGATCCTCCTCTTTCTTCACCTCCTTCTCCTTCTCCCTCGACCTCCCCCTCCTGTTCCCCTGCTGCAGAGGTTTAACTGACTACTTACAAATGTATCACATTTATTTGTTTGTATGTTACTTTTTTTAAAAACCAATTTTCAGATGATCTAATTTGATCTAATTATGTTAAAGTTTAAGTTTAATGAACTCCAAAGCCAAACCTTCTCCCATGAGGTCGTTCCTCCCGGTGGCTTTTCTTATTACTTTACCAACAGTTTAACGGTTACGTCTATAGACGTAGCTCTCACCGAGGAAACTCAAGGGATTTTAACAAGGAAATGTACAAGTTAATATGAATAAATAAAAGAAAATAGTCAGCTATTTCTAGCCCTTAGCTATCGTCCTAGCTTGTATGTAGCTGTGTTGCTTTCAGCTAATAGATGTTTCAGGGCTTATTTTACACCTATCTTTATTTTTACATTTTTTTCCAACTAGCTTGAAAGAATAGCAAAGTAGCTAGCTAGTGTTCAGTGTTTGGTCAACTTATGACCTGAACTACAAATATGAGCTATGCTTTGGCTATTGTATCAATTTAAGCTAACATAAATCTTATCTATCGTTTAGCCAGCATCTTAACTAGCTTTTACATATTATACCTTTATTTTGGCTATTGGGATTTTAGCTATTTCTAGGCTTCTTTTTGCTCTGTTCTTGCTGAGACTTACTTTGTCATTGACATTTTAGCATTTTTGGCTATTTTAGCTAACGTGTTGTTTATATTTTAACAATTTTTTTAGTCCTTTTAGCAAATAGGTAGCTTCAGCGAATGTATTTAAGCAGTTTTTGAGTATTCCACTACATGACACGCTCACAGGAGGAGCGGCAGTTGGTCATTATGTAAACAACACTTCATTTTTACCATTTGTTCAAGTGTGATCGAAGTTAAACAACTGGATTTCTCTGAGAAGGCCGTGACCACAGAGTCCGGCTGTAGCTATGAAACAGCACTTCTTCTCTCAGGAATGTGTGGAGGCCTGGGTCAAACTCTACCTCGGGTTAATGAGTAAATACCAAGACGGATATGTGGCTCCCAGAACCAGCTCACAAGAGGAAGAATATAAGATAAACAATAGAAAATAAAAACCAACGGAATGAGCACAAAATAAAGAAAGCGTAGATTTTGTCTTTGTGTGTTGTTTTGTGAAGCCACTGCCTCCCTTTGAATCTCAGAGATATTACAGCCTCTCATCATGGTGTCACTGAATGTGTCTGGACTTCTTACCGTTTTGGGCATCTTGGCTGTGTGGGTGGAGGAGTTCCAGCAGAAGACGGTGTGTCCGAGGCTGTCGGAGGCTGCAGTGGTCGACAACCAGCAGGACTTCCAGCTGATAAAGAAGGCCGCTACACTCCTGCAGGCAAACTCAAGGGCAGGGCTTGTGTCCTTTGAACTCCCTCGGTGTAACGTGGGAGGTTTCTACTCAGCAATATCACAGAAAGGTGACTGCATAGCCTCCTGCGTGTAGGCGACTGCAGCGGCCCGGGCAGGACGCTCCACCCAGAGACAATCTCCTATCTCAGCACCTGCCGTGACCTTTGAACGCTGCACGTTAGGGCTACACAGGCGGTTTTATGTTGGAGAAGAGGGGATAGATAGATCATAAAGAGATCACAGAGGTTTGGGATACACAGGCTCAAATGAAAAAACAAGGTTGAAAACAAGCAGGAAAGTTCAGATCGTAAACACTCTTTAACACATCATGATTGTGTTTTAATAGATCCTAATTATAGACAACGCGGTCTCTGAAGGCCAGAACAGTTGATACGAAAACCACAACATTGACCAGTGTAAAAACAATCATTAACATGTCATTAATGTCATGTAACAAACACACTTCTTCTTGTTGAAGCCATAATGTATATTTTTGGAAAAAAAAAACTTGCAGTTTTATTGTTGACCACACGGTAGCGCTTCAAAATAAAAAGCATAATTTGTTATTGTTTCATTAAATGATATAAAACCAGCAGATCTGATCATTTAATAAAACATAAATTCTTATTAAAGTCAACTGTTACAAAGTATATTTAAATGAATTTATGGATTTAAATATTTTTATCCAAAGTTTTGAAAAAGCCTCATAAATGAAAGCTAAAATATTTGCAGGGAAACGTAAATATTGTCCGTCTTCTATTAAGGACTGTGAGACTGTCTACATTTTGGTCATTATTTGTTTTCAGTCTTTTAACGGAACATTCTCACTGCGGTGGAAACCAGATCAAATAACCAGCTCTGTTCACAAACCCCGCCCGTCCTAGGAAATAAAATTATTTTACATATACAGTATACATGTACAGCATGTACTATAATTGAACTTTGTTAAAAAAAAACTAAATTGAAGTACCTTTAACGTGTATTTTGTCCATTTTGCCATTGCACAAGGTTTTGTTTCTACTTCTACATAAACAGGAAACATGAAAAAGACGAATAAACTGTGAACAAAAAAACAACAGGACAAAAGCAACAACAGGAGCTCAGATTAAAACTCATCTCTGATCTGAAAGTGAGGCTGATCCTCTGGTTTGAAGTCTTTATTGGGACTTCCATCAGCGCTCAGGATACGTGAGGCTGTGTAGCCCACTATAGGATACTTGGTTTTATACGTGTCTTCAAATATACTGTCCAGAGACTCCAGCTGTTCATCAGTCAGACCTGTCTGTAGAGGCAGAGGTGGGAAAACAACAACAGATTTATCGCTCTTGAATGAAATATTCTCATTATGATAATAAAAAAATAATTATACAATAATAATAATATAAAATAAGAAGAAGATTTTAATGACAGAATTTCACTTAAGCTTAAATACAACCTTCTGACGATTGTTGTACAGTATAATCACCAGCAGGGGTCCTGAGCTAAAACGTGCCTTTTGTCAGTATTACAGAAATCATTTTAATATTTGTTTTCTATATAAACACTATATAAAGAATTACTAATTCACAAAATACAAATGAAAACAAAAAAAACACAATGGTTTCCTCCTCTTTAGAGAGAACAGTGTGTTTATACACACTGCACCTCTGCTCCTCTTACTCTCAGGTGTCAGGTGTCAGTTTTCTCCACCCACAGTTTTCAGACACAACAACAGACACACTGAACGGATGTAATGAAATCAGTGTCCACTCACTGTATCTGATGTCAGGTCCTCAGGATCCAGAGACATTTTAGCCACAGCTCGAGTGGAGTCTTTACCAACCAGAGCGTTGTACGGAGCATCTTTACCATAGAATTCTGCAGAGAAACACAAGCAGTTATCATTGGAAATGGATGTCAAATCAAAGGCTGCAAAAACAGACACAAGACACAGACACTGTATTCTGCATGCCTGCTTTACTGGGAGTAGTTGCAAACACAGCTTGTCTTCGGCTAAAACTGGCTTTTGTCAGAGTTGAAAAGAATTTAAGGAGATGCTTCTAAGATGGGTGAGATAATAGAAGCACTCCTGCTCTGTAAATAGAGCTGTTGTCGAGCCCCGTTCCGTGTTGACACACTCACAGCTACTGTTTCAAAACTTGCTGTCATGGTAACAAAAATGTGATACTCAAAGGGAAGTAATAACAAAAAGAAATAAATTCAAAACTCAGCTTAACGTTCCCACTGTGGCAGAAAAAAAATCAAATATGAAATTAATTGGCTTTGCCGTACCTTGTTGTCCAAAAACAAACTACTGCTACAGATTAGTGAAGAGTGCAAATGGGTTTTTTTTCAGCTTTCAACATTTTCAATTGACAGCAACGTTATTATGGGTAAAAACAGTGAGTGCAAAGTCCTGTAAATACTGTAACTGACAAAATGATTACTAAAACAGCATGCTTGAATACATATCCTTGTATTTACCTTTCCCTGTAGTCACATCAAATACCACTCCTTTCACAGCCATATAAATGGGCTCATCCTCCTAAAACAAGGAATGAACACAGAAACAAACGTCAATATCACAGTAATATTCATTTACACACACTGGGTCTAAACAACAAGGTGTATCAGAGGGGTTTTCAGGTTCATAATAGCATTTTATTTGACGTTTGGTGTGATGCAACAAAATGTTTTGTATAAATGCGTTATCCATATAATATATTAATAGTGTATATATATTTGTAAATAACTCCTAAAGTAATTGTAGAGAAAAAAAATTGAATAAAAAACGCAGCTAATAAAAATTCCTGTAAAACCTGTATGTACATAAGGTGTTGTGATTTTATCTTTGTTTGTTTTAAAACAGACTTCTTTTTTTTAAATCATCTGACGGTGACCGGTGAAAGTGACGCTCGTTGACCTGACTGCCGTCGTATCTCGTCAGCTCCTCCTCGGTGAACAAACGCACAGGTTTAGAGGCTGGTTGGTGTTTTAGTTTAAAATCTTCTGCTAACGTTGCATAGATGAGAGCAACGAGGAAGCATTTACCCAACGTTGACATGATGAGAAAGACTTGTGTTTTTGTGTAAATTCAAACGCGGAAACTCTTTCCTCCTCTTCCTCTGTTACTATAACGGTGCTTTCAGGTCTGTGGGAATTGTCACTTTCACTGCTGCACTCGGCAACGCAACAGCTGTTTTCCGTTTCTCGACGCATCCTATACTGCATTATTAACAAACAAAAAGGTTCAGAATCAGTTTAATATTTTTTTCAATAAAACATGGGATTACTATATAATACATGCTATATACCTATTTCACAACAGCCTTACACGCTTTGAACTTAAAGGTTAGGCAGGTAAATAGAAACGAAAATCATGACTAGCTTAATGTCAACCAATGTATAGCTATAAATTGACAAGAACACTGAAAAAAATGTCCTAATGATTACTTAAGGTGGAACCAAAAACTATATAAAAAATAAAATACCTACAAATTAATGTTAAAACACGCTTAATATTTGACAAAACTGTGAAAAAACAACATTTAAAAAAATACATTTATTCAACATGCTTCTGTTTGCTTACTGAACTAAATAACAGCCAATGTATAATTGGTAACGACTTTAAAATACATTTATTCAACATGATTCAACAGCCAATGTATAATTGGTAACGACTATCAAAAATGTCCTCGTTTCAATTACTGGAGCCATAAGCAAGTTAGCGTGAAAATATAATGATATGGGTAAGAAGAAATTGTTGTCAAATCTATAAAATAAAATTTAAAAAAAAAACTAGAGAAACCTGTGGTGTCTGGCTTGGTAAAAGAAAATACACCTATTTGTATTTATCTAAGTATAAGCTGCGGGATATTAAATTTGGAGTCTTCGTGGAAGTGCGTGAAGGCAACAGTAGATCTACTAGCCTATCCAGCCTAGAAGGGAGGAAGGAAACGAAGGAGGAAACGAAGATAGACCGACAAAAGGAGGTGACTGTTGGTGTCTGATGGTCGCGGGATGGGCTTTATCGCTGCTGCCGACAGATACATTACTGACTCCATACCATAGGACACGAGTTAGACTGAGAGAGACTGTTAGACTGTTATAAACATGTATCTGCTGCTGTCTAAAACAAGAAGCCACGTTTTTTCTTCTGGTTGTTAAAAACTTGTTGTCAGTTTGAGAAGCGCTGAGAGGAATGGTGAAGAAGGAAAAGTCACAGTCTTACCGAGAGGTAAGAAGAGTTCAGAATTATGTTGCCCTTTTAGGACCTTTATGACGTATGTATAACTAACTTTTCACAGCACTGGTCTCCGGTGTGTCCAAAACCTGAAGCTTACTTTTCTGATTAAAGTTTTAACTTGAAATAAAAACGATTCTTTAGTGAGGTTTATAACAGTGTAGTGCCTGTTCAGGGTAAGTATTGGTTATTACAAATGAACGGCTGTGGAGCTGTGGCCTCGGTAAGAGTGTCTGCACAGCACTGTACTGTGTGTGTTTGTGTATGTGTTTGTGAGCCAGCGCTTGTTTCATTGAGCTCCATGTGAAGACACTGCTGCAGACTGACTGACCATCATGTGACTGCAGTGTCAGCACTGGCTCCCTGTGAAATAAGCTGATCGCAGCTGTTCTTATACACTGACCACTGGTCTTAACTTGTCTCGTTACAAACTTCAAAATGTGTTGGGGTCGACTAAGGTGGGACTGATGTGGGAGGTCTGTTGTTTTGGGTGCAGTTGTATCAAAAGATACTAACGGTGTCTCCTTCACCTACGAGATAAAATGCTACTGCTGGTGTCCGTAAGTCATGAGGCACACCCGATTTGTTTGTTTTACCTCAAAAGACCCTGATATATCTGTAAATTATTAACCTGATGGAGATCTCCCTGTTCTTTAAATGAGAATTCTGCTCCATATAAACCCCTTTAGCTTTGTTGTTATAATGCTTTATATATTGTTATATTATAATAAACAAAACATGATTTAGCTCAGCTGGTTGTGAGGGCTAATACAGTACTGTGTTTCCATACAATTAAAAAAACAAAACAAATATATGTCCTTGTCCTCTCAGTTTAATGATGACGAGGACGAGGACCAAGAGGACAATGCTCAGACGGCAGACCTTTCTGACAACGAAGGAGACGAGGAGCAGGAGGTGCCGAACGGCAGCATCTCACAAGGTAAAAACCGGGAAGACCCCTAGGTATATGTGACAAAATATATATTCACAATGACTAATTAAGACACCAAATTAACTCTCATTCATGCATGTGAGCCGTGGTGTAAACAATAATTTTCTCCTGCTGCAGAGGATTATGTGAGGGAGAGCAGTCCTTCACTGAGGTTCAGTAAAACCTGCCTGAAGAACTTCTTCACAGTGGTTCTCATCTTCATCTACCTCGTCCTGACGGCAGTGGCAGGGTTCCTGGTCTACCAGACCATCTCTGACTTTTTGGACAAAGTCAACCACCCCGTCATGTCTGTCACCTACAAAGAAGTGGACCTGTTTTCTCCTGCAGGTTGGTATGAAGAAGACACACACAGGACCTTGATTGTTCCTCTGTGTTCGTCCACTTCCTCTCACAGTTATAATTGTTACAGGCATTGCTCTGTATCTGGGTGGAGCTCAGCTGCTGAACTGCCGACACCACTTCCACCATGACATCCCACCTTTAGTAGATCCAGGCAAGCCTCAGGAAGGAGACTGTATGATCCAGCAAGTGACTTACTATGGACCGTTCACTAATCAAACAGAGGTTAGTCGCCACAACCACCTGCCACTGAGTTTTTTTTTTCAAACTTTTCTCAAGGTTCTTGGTTCCGCACATCCACTGTTGATTGATCTGTTGTTGTTTTTGTTTCACAGACCCAAGCTTTGGTGGTCCGTGGTCCTGCTGATGTCAGAAACAAAGAGCTGATCTTCATGCAGTTCAGTCGCAACACAACACAAGAGGACTTCAGCGGCATCACCTACATGCTTTTCGCTAAGTTTAGTGACTTGATTGAGAGGTAACTGCCACCCACTCCGATAGAAGAAAGAAATGTCTGTAGTATACAGAAAATAGATAACGCACACACTGTGTGTTTTTGACTCTGCAGCGAAAATCAGTCAAACTTCATGAGAGAGTGTGAGAGGAACTACTCCAAATGGACCTTCTCTGGAGGATTCAGAACCTGGGTCAAGATGTCCCTGGTGAGGACTTCGGGGAAAAGTGCCGAAGCTGTTGAGTTTCGACAAGAGGTATTTACATCATCACACGTACCAGCTACTGCTTGTATGCAGTATTGAAATTAATTTTAAGAGTATCGACTTGTGTATCTGTGTTGGACCTTCTAGTCTACTCTGGTGAAGTTCAACGACAAAAGACCTGCGTCGGAGCAAAGCGATGAGCTCTTCTTTGCTGTTTTTGAATGGAGAGATCCGTTCATGCAAGAGATCAGACTGGTGAGTTCAAACCAGTGGTTTAGTTTTATGGCTCCATCAATAAACCATAAACGCAACACATTGGACAAATAAAGAACTACGTTTGCTAAATGTAGTGTAAAACCAGCTAAACATTAGCAGATAACGTTCAGAATTAAACACATAAAATCGAAGTTTTCCCAAAACATCTAAAAGTAACCATTTAAAAAACAGATTATTCCTAGAATAAATGTAATGATACACCGAGGTAGATGAAAGAAGAAGTATTAGCAGTAAAATAATTAGAAGTTAGCGAGTAAATGGATACAAATTTCAGTCACAGAGTTAATTGGTCAAACAGTGGTAAGTTATTACTGAGTCTATGTAAATATGCTTCAAAAGATTAGCCGAAGTCTGCTGAATGTTGGCCAAAAAAAGTTTATTATCCACAAACAGCTCAAATACTTGTACTTGTTGTTAAAACAAAAATAATGACGAGTCTTTACACTATAGCTAACATTATTAGCCTGAGTTAAATTATTATAATAGAATGTCCCTTAAATCATTCTACTACATACAGTACTTTTGAATATACAGTACGTAGGCATTTTAATCAGTATATTTGTTTGACACACTCTTTTCTGGACAGATTGTAACAGCGAATCCCTGGAACTCTGTGGCCATCCTCTGTGGCGTCTTCATGGCTTTCTTCAAGGCAGCTGATTTTGCCAAACTCAGCATAAAGTGGATCATAAAGATGCGTAAGAGGCATCAGAAGAATAAAACACGAGAACTGAACCAAATCAGTGGTTTGCAGTGAAAACCTCTCAGATTATGAAAGGAGTTGAGCTGAGGTTTGAGAATCCAGTAGTCAGCCCTGTCATTCTCCTTATTCAATAGGTCAGTTCCTGTGGTTAAATGCTAAGGGATAACTGGTTAATTTTATTGTTGAAGATCTGGTCTTTAACAGTTGTTTTAATGTTCCTACTGATATTAACTGCTAGAACAAGTGTTTTGTATTCCAGAGAACTGTTAGAAAATTCACTGGACTTTTAGTTCTTGCATTTCAAAATTCAGTATGATGGAAATGAGTAGTAAAGTAAGTTTGTATGAGGCCTACATCAGAAAAAATGTGACCTTTTGTGGAATGTTTTTTAACTCAATTTTATGCAAAGGGAATTTTTGTGTCTGTTTACTCTAGTGTCCAAGTTTTTCACCTGCTGAATAAGCAGAAAATGTAGCAAACCACAAACCAGTTATCACTGTCTGACATTTGTCGTTAGAGTTTTTCACTGTAGAAACGAATATGTTCTATATATGTTTTTTATTTTGGCTGATTTTAACACAGACTTTTCCTTTTCTTGTTACTTTTTCCACATTAGGTTTAAGAATGATTTGGAAAATAAAAAAAAGAGATTTTTCCTTATGTTTTTTACAATACAATACTTTAAGGTGACATTGTGGAGGAGAGGTTAGTGCTTTTGCCTTACTGTGAGATAATCACCCTCGAATTTATCGGCTTTTGGATATTTCCTAGGTAACGTATGGTAGCTAGTACATCCTTTCTAATGCAGTAGGTGGCGACAATGCATATTCGTGATGGATACTAACGGCCACCGAAGAAGAAAGACCCGGATGTTGATGTTTGTTGTGAACTGCAACAGTGGGGCGGGAGATGATGATATTCTTCACACATGCAGACGTTTCAAAGGTACACAATCCTTAGGTCGTCATTAGACGTAATAAATAAATCTACATTAATTTACGAGCGATGTCACTTTTGTAAAATTTGTAATGTTCCTAATTCATTAGCACTTCGCTGGTTTAGCCCGGTTAGCATACTATTGCTAACTGGCTGGAGGAGGAAAGTTGCATCTTTAAAGATAACAGCAAAGGTAATGTAAAATATTTTTTGAATACCAGATGTCCCAAAACTGGCTGATTATGTCGCGTTAACCAGTAACCAAGAGCATGTTTTCTTTTGTGTGGTTAAAGCGAAAAACAAATATACTTACGGACTGGCTAGGCTAACAACAATTCACTCCCAGTTAGTACGTTATCTATGTTGAAAGTTTCTTTAAAATAGGTTGTTTTCTACGCTGTACCCTTTAACAGATGAGGGAGTGTGTAACATGGTTTGTTAGTATGCTTTATACCGTTTGCATGAACTTGTTTGTTGTTTTTGTTCACCAAACCTCTGTAGTCCTCCATGTAACGCCGCTTTGAACCATAAGTATGGTGATCTAACAAAGTTGTTAAGGATCCCTTTAACTCTCGTAGATAATTAGATAAAGGTAAACCAAAACGCAAAACAAATGAATAAAAAATAGAACTTAGTGTGCACTATAAAAAGTTGTCACCTTGTAATTCAAACATTGTTTGCAAATAGACTTTTTAGAGCCAATAACAAGAACAAAGGAACTAGATAACAATGGAATTCGCTCCAAGGGGTGTAGCTGAGAGGCTGATTTAGATATTTCTATTTCTCCACCTGGCAACAACAATACGGTTTAGACCCTGACATCATTGTTGATGATGATCATTTCAAAATTGAAATAATTTCTTAATATTTAGGCTTCGTTATCCGTATTGTGGGCATAAGAAAGGCTGAGCAACTTAACAAAATTTGGTAGGCATGTGAATTAGTACTGTGTGCAATAGAAATGTATTGTACTTTTACTTTTGTGTCAAACATTGCCCCGTTTTTCTTCTATACTTTAATAAGTAACTTTTAATAACTACATTTATTCAGTGTATTCTATAAAATCACATTTTTTCCTTATTATTGTTTCAAATCATTATTATTCATTATTGGACTATTTGTTAAGAGTCAAACATTTACAGTATTAGGGTCAGTATAGTACACACTGAAATGTTGTAACATTAACATTGTTGTCACAGCCAGTGTACTACAAACAGTGTCTGTGGTCATTCAACTGAAAACTAAATAAAGACAAGCTGTACTTGTTGCTCACTGAACAAACATGGCCCTTATTAGCTGAAACAGATAGCTTTTAGCTATGAGTGTAACTAGTTAAGGATGTGCCCTGAGTCTGTGATGGTATCACAGAGCAGAGCAGGAATTTAAGGTCATACCAACAAATTGCATGCAATAATAAGTTGTGTTAAAATTGACTGTTTGTCCTTGTTTATTGTATTTTTTTTAGAAGCTGGTTAGTCGTTGTGACATGTCAGATATAGTTGTTAATAATGATGCCATACATTTTCTTCATTCATTTGACCTCTTTGACCTCTTGATGCATCTTTTTGTACTTATTATTTCCATCTTTTGACAGTAAAGGACTGAAACCAAACAATATTGAAAAATGGCTCCAGCGAGACAGTGTATCCTCTGCGAGACAGTCCACGCCTCTTCTCAGGTAACTCACTAATAACCATGGTTTACACACAGGACATTAATACTTAATAAAAGTATTATAAAAACAATAAAAACAATACTTTATAAAAAACAATACTGGAATGGTATTGTGGTCCAAAATATACAAGTTTTTCCAATAATATACCTTCTCTTTTTTCTCAGTAATGTGTTACAGGAAACCTTACCTTACAGGAAAAAATGATTACCCTTCTGCCTAACAAAATATTTACATTTAAGTTTTGTATTTGCAGGAGATGGAGGAGCACATGAGAAGTATGCTGCACCACCGTGAGCTGGAGAAGCTCAAAGGCCGGTGAGTAGAGATGGGAATTGGAAAGAATTGACCTGTTCTGTTTGTCCATTTGATTCCTTATCAATTGTCTTATTGGGTTAGGAATTAAAATATAGTACACATTGGTTTGTTTATAAGCACACTCCCTCTTCAATGTTTTGAAGGCGCTCAACTTGCAGTAATAATCTGTTGGTTCCACTATAGTGATTTAACATATTTGACTGAAGGCACAGAAAACTGATCCTCATTATTTCATGAAATCATTTGGGATTATTGATACACTTTAGTAAAAGCAGGTTGACGAATGTCGCTAATATTAACACAGAACAGGACTTTAATGTTACCCAGAATATTGACCATAGAGAATGATGTGATTGCATGTGAAAGATTGCACATTCATCATAAATGAATTGTATTTGTGCCCATGCAATTAAGTGTTTATGCATGATATAGATATTTCCCTGCTTTATCTATGTTAAAGCTCTGACCTTCTTGCAAACGGCCATAGTGGGTTTTTTTTGTTCATGAAATGCAACCATACCATAAACCCATTCTGTCTGGACGCCATGTTGTAAACCCTCCGACTTAGGGAGCATGCATGTGATATCAAAGATGTCATAAGCCACTGTCCCATGGGCATCTGTAAACAGAGCTGTAAAGTAAACAGATTAACAATTGGAACCAGTTCTCGATTTTTTTCTGACAAGTTCTTAAAAATGTACACCATGCAGAAGTATAACGATTATACATTTTTAAACCTCACTTTTTATTCTCTAGACAAATAAATAAGTGGTTGAAACTGTCTGGGTTAGGAGGCACGTGAGTGTGTAGGCACGTTTCTTGGGATAAGTGGATGTGAAGGCAGCTGTCTCATTTGTGGTAACATATATTTAGACGCAATCTTTCCAGAACAACAGGCATGAGCGATAGGAGGCAACTGGCGGTCTCGTGACTGCAGTGGAGATTAGTACAAGTATGTGTCACACTGCTGACCTAAAAGATTCTGGAGTGGAGCAAACCCTGGGTTGTAACAGTTCAGTAGAATGAAATTAACAAGAGTTTTTTAATTAACAAAGAAAAGACACTGAGAGAACACTGCTGGTTAACTTGGGTTGTACGATGGAAAGTGTTTTTGATACAGAAAAGAAAAGTTGCTACTTTGAAAAGAATGCTATGGAAAATAAATGTGTATCATATACAGGAAAACTACAAAGAAAATATACTTTTTTTTAAAAAAACTCACAAAATTAGAAAGATCCATCTGAAAAGGATGACACAGCTAGTCTGAAAAGACTGTTCCTGCACTTTTTGAAAGTGGTTTACCAGGTTCAGTATCCATGTAAATTTATAGCAGTGGGTTTTCAGATGGTTCACGCATGAGCTGAGGGGAGATATTATTGGACCACAGATGTTGAGGATAGAACTGTCTGGCGGAAGGAAAAGAGTTAGAGCCCAGATAAGATTCGCAAACATAGTAAAGGTGACCATAAAGATGGTCAGTAGTAAAGGCAAAATATAGACTGTGATGAAAGCAGAGAGGGACGACCCCTGATGGCAGCAGCCGGAAGAGGAAGAAGAGGTGGTTTCAGTTCTGCCAGCACGGCACTGAAGACACAAGAAACCAATAAAGTCTTATTTAGAAAATGTTTGCCAATTGCAGCTAAGAGCACACAATAGCAGCTGTGATACACATAAATAAATAAAAACAATAGCAGAGATGTCCTATCAGAATCTCAGCATGTCATACAAGGGAGAGGTTTAGAAGCAGAGGCTGTGAACAGCTGCGGGAGTCTTGAATTACAGAGGCTTCTGCCTGGGATTGGTCAGAGTCTCTGCTCAGGCTTGTTCTAATAACACAGGCAGAGCTGTTGGGGGCTGGGTCCTGGCACCCACACCCACAGTGTGAGGTCAAATACAGAAAGGTTTCCTGTGTAGAGTCTCAGAGTGCAGCGGACACCATCATGAGAGGGCAGTAGGCTGAGGACGCCCTGCCGTCCACTCCACACGTCCCTGTGCAGTGCTGCGTGGTTTGTAGCCCTGGACGTAAACAGCCGGTGTCCAGCTCTGCTGCTCCTGACCTCGTCCTGCCACCTATGACCTGCTGAAGAAGATTTGAACACAAGATCAGGATGATTACACTTTAACTTTTTTGTTTACTTCACAAGAGAAATTTTAAGTTAGCTACCTCCTGATCTGTGACACCTAGACAATTTGGACTTTTTTTTTAACATATAAGGATTGTTGAGTATTCTCCTCTCCTGTTGATTTGTTCTGACGTTAAAGTAACAGAGAGTACAGCCAGAGTACAGTCTTTAACAAAGGCTCTGCAGGCAGTAAACAAGACTCGACAGAACCATGCCTGAGGGAAGTATTGATCGCCCTCTCTCACCTGCCCTTCCCAGGGACTGCGGACACGAGTGCCGAGTTTGTAAAGTGACGGTGGTGAGTCTGACTGAATATGCGAGTCACATTTCCAGTGCCACTCATAAGCAGAAGGTGGAAGCCTCTGAACTGAAGGCCTGTGGGAAGGACACAGATGACTACTTCGACCGGGCTCTGGTGGAAATGATCGAGAAGAGAAAAGAACAGATCAGGTAAGTCAGAAAATTGAAGGATGGATTTATTTATTACAGTGGTTATTTATACTTTAGGAAAATAATAAAACAATGTGTGTATATCAAATTGTAGTGTAATTTGGTATAAAACCACTTGTGTGTGTACCTGCTGTGAACCATGTATAGTCACATTCTAATTCCTGTTGCTCACAAGACACTTTTAGCTGCTGCTTCACGTTGAGCAGAGTCGAGAGTCGTGTGTCAGGTCTGCAGCTTAAAAAAGCCTGGGCTGCTCTGCTGCACACATGTCATACCTTACCTTTGCTTGCTGTGAAAAACACTCTGCTCATCAGTTTATGACATTTATAGAAAAAGTTATTTTTTCCCCAAAGTCATTCCAAGAAAAAATAACAAATAATTTGTAACATATTTTTTTGTAACATTGTTTAATTTAATTTTAATTTACAAATAAAAAATATCCATCCAAACTCTTCAGCCCATTAGAAACATTTTTTATAGACAAACATCAAATTATCTTTTAGATAAACTCTCCCTGTAAGAACTTTGTTTAGGGAGATTTTTTTTTCCACTAGACAAACCTTTACTTTTGATATTTTCTGGGAAATTATTTATTAGATTCACAAATGTTAACATCATGAAAATGAAATTGTGTAAACATTCAGTGTCAATGTCTCACCAGAAACCTTTAAAAGCAAGAACCTTGGGCTGCAGCAGCTGATAAAGAGAGAAATATGAGGAGAGAGATGAAGGCAGAAGTTGGCCTTCAGCTGTCAGTGTCTCACATGCCAGATATTTTCACACTGCACTACAGTCAGTCAAAAGTAGTTTTTTATCATCTTCAGCCCTGGTGCAGCTACAGTAAACACAAAACATAGATAAGCAGTTACAATTCTTAGGCTTTTTTTATTTTAGCAGAAACTTTGCAGAAATGTTTTGACTTTCTCATTTCCCTTTTACCTTTCTGGAAAAATGTGTTAAATATACAGTAAAAGAACAAAATTCTAGCTGCATGAATATTAATGGAAACCTAGAAAGTATATCAAATGGGTAAAAAAACCCAATACAATTAGATGTAGCAAAATTTAAACCAAACAAAATCTGACCAAATCATGTCATAAATCCCCAGAGATGTATCATATGACAGCGTAAGTTAAAACCCCGGCATTGTTGATGTTTGAATCTGACCTTAAAAAACATGTACGGCCACTGTTTTACCATGAGTCTTCCTTTGGTAGAAAAGACAAAGAGGCTGCAGCTGCAAAAGAAGAAGAGCGTAAGAGGAAAGAGGAGTTCCAGCAGAGGTTACAGCAAACTAAGGAGCGTTACCGTCTGGAGTGTGGCTGGCAGCAGTCGTCACGGTGGTACAATGGACAGCACAACAACTGGATGTACCAGCATAACAGCAGGCCAGGGGAGCAGAAGCCATGGAAGGAAGGAGCGCCCCCTGGCATGCTCAGGAGCCTCCCAACTTTAACCAATGGGCTCCAGATAATTATCATGGGAGGTGGGAAGACAGGCGGCAGGATTACGGATTTGCTAACAACCAGCAGTGTCGGCTGCCCTGGCTCAGCAGAGGAGGCAGTAGTTATGGAGTCTATGGCCAGAACAACATATCACAATACTCTCACAGAGGCCGGGGCAACAGTTTCAATAGACAAAGTCGAACACTTCCACCAAATACTTTTAACAGGCCTTTGAATCCATTTCCAAACACAGCCAATGAGCAGAAAGGTCATCAGAGCGAAAGTCCTCAGAATGTTGAGGGTCGAACCACAGAACCTGACCTCAAAGGTAATAAAGGCCCCAAAGGCTTTGGCAGTAACCCAAAACTGGACAAAACCTGTCGCTGGTCTCCTTATCCGGTAACGAAGGACACAGCGTCAACAGAAAAGAACCACAACACTACAAAGGCCCAGAATCATAACAGCACGTCAGAGAACAGTGCCTCAAACAGACTCTCCCAATCTGAACAGAAGCTCGCACCGCTGCCCTCCAGTGGACTCGCTGTAAAAGAAAGTCAGAAGCACAAAACAAAAGTGGAAGAGCTGAAGTCGAGAGGTGAGAGTTGTACACGCAGCAGCAGCAGCAGTAGTAGAAGCAGCAGCAGTAGCAGCAGCAGTAGCAGTGCTCAGAAAGAAGGTCATGTGACTCCTACATCTGCTTCGTCCAGTCAGAACACGGCTGTGCTGAGTAAAGAGAAGAAGATACCTTCACTTCCTACTCTCCTGTCTGTCGCTCCACTCAGTAAAGTCCTCAGTCCTGGTGATGCTCAGTCTAAGCCTGTAGCAAAGCAAAGTGGACTAAGTTCTAAGGCAGCATCTTTTGGGTCCCTCAAATCTAGACAACAACCACAGCTCCCAGAAACCCTCTTCAAAGCAAGGTTGACATCCTCAGAAAAGAGAAGTTCTCTGGACAGCTCCAAAAACAAGAAAGACGTGTCCCAGCCAATCATGGAGAAGCAGCAAATGGATGTTGCTCAGAGTCAGATAGGAGTTAACAAAGAGAACACCTGCAGGCAGAATACAGCTCCTCCATACTCACCTGGTTCAGTGCGGCCAGAAAGGCCTCTTTTGCTCTCTTCAGAAAGCAGTCAGTTCCTCCAGTCTTTACAAGTGAGTACGTCCACTGTGGAGTGCTCTGATGCTGCAGCCTCCAACAAGAAACATGAAGAAACAAGGTTGAAAGACAATGAGAAGAGCAGCTCAACAGACCCAGATGAATCCCTGCAGGCGGCTGAGGAAGGTTATGGCTCAGGAAGAGAGCCCTGCAAAGGTGCTGAGGCACAGAGCATCTCAGGGTCCAGCTCTAATCTGTCCAAACTGGACCTGCCTACGGTCTTAAAGCGTGACCTGACCAAACACATGAGCTCGAAGAACAAAACAGGAAGTCACGAGCCCAACCTGAACATTGCCAGACGAGTGAGAAACCTGAGCGAGTCACGGCGGAGTGACTCCGAAAAGGAGTCGGGTCTTAAACCCACTGTGCGGCAGCTAATCAGCTCCTCGGGATCTCGACGCAACGTAAACTGGGAACAGGTGTATCAGGAGGTCAGGAAGAAGCAGGACAAAGGGAAAGGCATGCCAAGGTAGATTTTACTCCCAGTTTTTTTTCACAATTTCTCCCCAGAGATTTGCTTTCTTTCTGCTAACGTTCTGGTGGGTTTTTTTCTCCAGGTTTGGTATCGAGATGGTCCCAAACGAGGTGGAGGACCAGAGTCAGGAGGAAGACGATATTCCTCTGCTTGAAGGTGAACACTGGGAGGCGTTGCTCGGCATTTCTGCTCCAGCTCCCAGAAAACGCTCCTTATCAGAGAGCAGCCTCGTCCCTGAATCCACCTCCGCCATCTTCACATCTTTAATATCAAAGGAGACGTCACAGAGAGAAAGCCTGAGCCCCAAGCAGCAGAAGCCTTCTGTCATCTCCATGGACACTTCAGGAAGCAAAGACGTTCACTGTCAACAGTTAACGGAGAGGAAAACTCAGAGAGAGCCAGAAAAACTGATGGCAGCGTCAGTGAAGCCTCTTCAAAGATCTGATTCAGTGCTGGGGGACAGCAGTTCAGGGACGGAGCAGTTTGACGGCACAGGAACAGGGAAGAGACGAAGAGCAACCGTGGTGAGTCAGTGAAGTGGACGCTGTGGTCAAATATGTTGTGATTTTTTTAGACATTACCTGTAGACACACTATACACAGCTTTTTTTTTATTATTAAAGTTTACTTAACCATTTCATTACTTCTTTCAGGATGCTCCAAGTACAGATACGTCTTGTTTGGGACATAATAGTAAAAGACGGAAGGTCAAATCCAAACAGGGTTTGTCTTTTTTAATTTTTTTATTATTATTTATAATTTCTTTTCAGAAAAAACAAACATTTGGTTTTTAACTAAATGCCTCACTTGCTTTGTGCAGAGCGTTCACACATCGACCAGCTGCTGGCTGTGTCCCTGCGGGAGGATGAACTGAGTCGCTCACTGCAGACGACTGACAACAGCCTGATCCAGGCCAGAGCTGCCTTGGAGGCTGCCTACATGGAGGTGCAGCGCCTCATGGTGGTTAAACAGCAGGTAACAGAAGAAAGATATAGGAAGTTAAAAATACAGAAAAAAGTCTCCAGAAGTTGTCTCATAAATTTTGAGTAGGATTTTATTGCAAGTATAGTAAAAGTAGCTCAAACTGAAAAAAATAAATTACTATATAAAATGTTTCACTAATAATCAAGATCACATCGCAAGTCCCTCAATGGCAACCATCACAAGGTCATATATCACAGTAATATCAGATTATAAACAGGTCTACAGGCCAAAATTGACCACGAGTCTTTTGAGATTATTCAACATGTTTGTGTTCATATGTACCATCTCTTTGATATTATGCAACTGAAAACGACAGCTTTTCCCCCTCTAATGCTTGTGGGTGTTCTGCGTTTGTCAGATGACTGCAGAGATGAGCACACTAAGGAACAAACGCATCGAGCTGCTAAAGGGGATGCAAGGTAACAACAGTTGTTTTTGCCAACGTTGAACTTGAAGTGCTCGTCAGATTTACTCATTCATTTGTGAACAGCTTAATTAAATAGATTTTGTTTTAATGTCAGGGAGTCTGGAGGAAGCACCTCAGGTCACAGTCAAGGAAGAAAGAATGCACACTACAGATGCAGACTCAGGCATTATGTTTTCCCCTGCCATGGACATGTCTGCTGCTGAAGCCACACCTCCTGCTGTTGCTACTTCTCATCCTCCAAATCCAAGTCCCACTGCTTCACTCCACCACCCGCCGTCGCCCAGTCACTCCTTCACGCCTATAATGATCAAGCAGGAGCCTCAGTCTCCTGTCCATGCCACTCCAGAACTGGACCCAGTGGAGTATAAAGCCCTCTGTGCTCACAGCACCACACCTGAGGTTCCTGTTGCTCCTGAAGGTGAAGAAAATACTTAAACGTCATTACAGTGTTAAACCTGAAGTCCACTAATATACCATTGAATCCTTTTCTGCAGTTCCTGGGTTTACCTCTAAGTCCTCTCCAAAAAGAAGCCCTGATTTTTACCAGACCCACACTGACCACAGTTGGGAGAAGTTTGAGGATCCTGGAGACTGCAAACAGAGTTTGTCAGGACTAGTTGAATCAACAGAGAAGGCCAGTCAGACCGCAGGAAGCTGCCTGATGCCTATGTCTGACTGCAAACCCCTGAAGCCTCTCTCTTCAAGCAGACTGAGCTCTGAATTGGACAGTGTTGCTGACTGCACTGCCTCAAAGTTCCCCGAGCCTCTCCCTGTGCCCTCAGTTTTTAATCTGCCAGCTCCTCCTTCCGACCTGACTAATGGGAAACGTGTGAGGAAGCTGAAAAAGAGGAAAGTGTTGAAGAAAGCTCAAGTTCCAGAGCAGCCAGAGAGCAGCGACACTGAGATTGACATAGAGCCCCTGAGGCGAAGGTGGTCCAGACCACGCCGCAGGCCCAGTGGAGGCTCTCAGGTGACCACCTCCAGTGTGACTGTGGATGAAACGAACATGGAGAACGGTGAGGAGGCACAACAACAGCTATCACCAGCCAACAAACATGAAGAAGCAGAGCCTCCAGCTTCTGCTCCTCCTGAGCTGACGGAGAACCTGGATTCAGAGGAGAACATGGAGGTCACTACAGACTGTCGGAAGTCTAACACAGAATCCCACGCTCCAGAGCCAACTTCAGTCAAAGTCAAGGACTTCTCCAGAGCTGAGCTACAAAACCTGGCCTGCAACGAGGTCACGTCCACCAGTGACATGGACATTTGCAAATCTTCTGAGAGGTGAGAGGAAATCTTAGTCTATTTGTTATTACACAGATCATCTAACCTCCATCTTCATCCCCTACAGGGGGAGCTATAAACACCTATATAAACACGCCTCTTTTTTAACCTGTAAAAACAACAACACATTAACAAGAACAGGGAAATGCAGGTAGACGGCAGTGAAGTCGTACTCTAAGGTTAATAAATGTTTATTTTTAGGAGTGACGGTACTTCTGTGTAAGATCCAAACATACATCAACTAATTGTTTTATCATCTTCATATTTTGCCTCTTCAGTGATCTGCCATTTCCCATTTCAATGTCCAGGAGCCTGAGGAGCCAGTCAGGTAAGCCCTTCACATTACAAGTTGGTAAATAAATGCAGCAACCTTTGAAAACTACTTGGAGAAATTATCTTGTTTTTTTATACATTTTGATTAAAAAAAATCAAATTTGTTTGAATCACATTGAGATTTTCACCTCATATTAAATGTGCATTTTAGAACAAATGAGAACAGACTACGTTTTACCAGGAAACAAATCTTGCCATGAAGCCAGGGTCCAAATTTAGAATGTCCAAGTCCCTGAGTTAAAATAGTCTTCACATGAATTACTTTTTATGGGAAAGATATTCATAGTCAGTACTATGCAGCACAGTACATACAGAGATGGATTTAAACAGAACTTTCTGCAAAAGTTTAGATGTGAACTAATGAATATTGATCAACTAAATAGATCAGAAAAAATGTTATTAAGTTTGGAATCAGATTTTTCTAATAGTCCCAAAGATATGTTGAATGTTTGATTTTTCTTAAATCAATTCCTTTTTACTGAGTGTTTATCCAATGACACTAAAAAACTTTATAATGAAAATGTTCAGCCGTTAAAGTCATAGATTTGGAATACTACACTACACTTTAATAAAAAAAACATCCTTAAAACTTTTTAGTAAAATGAAACCTGCTTTTTCTCACTACTATTTCCCCAGATGCATCTTCTGATCACGGTGGGGATGAACTGGCCACTGAGGGGCTGTTCGAGGGCCACCAGGAGGCAGTGAATGCCATGCAGATCCACAGCGGACTGCTGTACACGTGCTCAGGAGATCGCACTGTCAGAGCCTTTGACCTGGTGGTAGGTGCAGATGAAGCCTGTCTCCTGTGTCAGGATGTAAGGATGAATCGGTGGATGTAGTGAACTCTGTGTTTTTTATCTGTTGCAGAGTCATGAATGTGTGGCTGTGTTTGAGGGTCACAGCTCCAAAGTGAGCTGTTTGTTGGTGTCCACTGCTCCCTCTCTGCATCATCGTCTCTACACTGGTTCTAGTGATCAGACCGTTCGCTGTTACAGTCTGAAAGTGAGAACACTCTTCTTTCTCTTTTTTTGTGGTAAATTAAACATTTTATGAATTGAAATTTTTGTGAACTGTTGTTTTATTTCCTTCACAGACTCAGGAGTTTGAGCATCAGTTTTCTCTCTCAGACAGAGTTCTCTGCCTCCACAGTCGGTGGAGAACTTTGTACGTAGGCCTTGCTAACGGCACAGTGGTGACCATTAACCTCAAGGTAAGAATGTTTTATTGGAACTACCTTCTGACTGTGGCACTGGAGTTGTAAAAATGTAGGATTAAAGAGCTCACACTGATGGCCTCAGTAAGCTAAACTTACTCTTAACTGCAAAAAAAAAAACATTCTCTACCACGCCTGACGTCATTGGGTTTTTTTTGTGTGAACTACTTTGTCGTGTAGACAAACAAGCAGATGGACGTGTTTGAGTGCCACGGGCCTCGGGCTGTGAGCTGTCTGGCCTCATCTCAGGAGGGAGCGAGGAGGATCCTGCTGGTGGGTTCATATGACAACACCATCAGCGTAAGAGACGCAAAGAACGGACTCCTGTTGAGGACACTAGAGGGACACACCAAGACTGTGCTCTGCTTAAAGGTAGGTCAGATGTCAAACCTGAGATTAGAATCCAGATTTCCTACTGTCAGAGGGAAATATAAGTGAGATGATCTGTCCCTGACAAATGTGTATATATAGCTGTATTTTCAGCTCCACATGTCCAACCATAAATATATCTGTCTTTAATATCTGTCTTCACGTGGTAGTAAAGGATGTGGGAAACGAACACAAAGGACAATGCTATCAATAATTACCAGGAGCCTTACTTTCGAAAAAGTATTAATTATGACCAGAAAACACGCTTGTTAGTTAAAAAATCTGTGCAGGCCCTGAAAGTATTTTAATCATAGTCATTAATTATTTATGGAATTATTGGCATATGTGATCAAATATATATATAATAAAATATAAAAATATCTGTCTCTATGCAGGTGATTAATGATCTGGTGTTCAGTGGCTCCAGTGACCACTGTGTTTACACACACAACATCCATGTAAGTCATCAAAGCTTTCACAAAAATGGAGGAATCTGTTTTCACAGAGTGAACGTATCCAAACACATATCCACATTTCTGTTTCTTTGTGTCCAGACTGGAGAGCTGCTCTGGGTCTTCAAAGGTCACACTCATGCTGTCACTGTTGTGACTGTCCTGGGGAAGGTGATGGTGACCGCCTGCCTGGACAAACTGGTCCGTGTCTACGATCTGCAGGTCTGTCTCTCAGAACCATCTGTCACATTATGAACGACCAGATTCATCTGGTTTGGTCTGAGTTCCTGACGAGCTACGATTCTCTCCACAGTCTCAGGAACAACTGCAGGTCTACGGTGGACACAAGGACATGGTGATGTGTATGACTGTTCACAAGAACATGGTGAGACTTAAATCACATTACCATGTTTTTAGGGCCGGGGTCTTGCTCCGTTAGGCCCCTCAGTGCCCCCTGTAACCTATCAACTGTTCTACACAGATTTACACAGGCTGCTACGACGGCAGTGTGGAGGCCGTCAAACTGAACCTGATGCAGAATCATCGCTGCTGGGTGAGACTAAAGAGGGGGACTTAATCTGAGAGTATGATTGGGCAGAAAAGGTTTTTAGAAGGTTTAGGAATGTTCCTTAGGCAAGTAAACTAAGCCCTGTTTATACCATAATGGTTTTTGAGAGAAGACATTAAGCAAAGAGCTATCTTTTCCTCTTTTATATGCTCTACATCCATGTTTTTCCCATTTAGTAAATGTCACCAGGGTAAATCTGTCCTGTCTGCACCTTAAACAGTAACATCTTATCACTGACCTGTTGTTGACAGTGGCACGGCTGTTCTTTGGTCTACGGGGTGACAGAACATCTTCAGCAGCACTTGATCAATGATCACGGCAGTGCCAATGTCCAGAAGCTTAAATGTCGTTGGAAAAAATGTGAGGAGGTTTTCTCTGTACGTAACGGCTCCAAACAGGTGAATTCTTTTTGATAATCGAATCCAATAATGTTTTTTTTCTGAAATATTGGTTGTTTGTTGTACTAAGTCAGAAAACCAAAAACCAACATTTACCAAGTTATATTTTTGTGTTTTTCCTTTAGCGGGCAATGTTGTTGCACATGCAGAAACATGCTGAGGAGACGGACCTGAAGCCTTAAGGGTCTGTGGTGGGAACGCTGTTTCCTCCTAAACCTTATTTCTTTATTTCCTCCCCCTTTTTACCTCCCATATTGGGGGGGAAACCTCACGGGACCCACTTTATGACCCTGCAGCACACCTGTAATGACTAACTAACTGAGTGGTGTCTGATGACGCAATTAATGTCCAGTGTTGGAATCCAACAATGACGGGATCAGAATGAGAGGACTGGATGTGCTGTAGTTGTCTTTTTTAATGTAACGTTCTCTCGTCCTCTTCCCTCTGACCACTGCTTCACTTTTCTCTGACCAAAGTAAAACACACAACCTGTGTTCACTGCAGAAACGTCAGCATTGCCAGAATCAGAGCGCGTTGTCACGCTTTTCTACTCAAACTGCAGCCAAAACAAACAATAATCATATTCCAGCTTGATTGGAAACACTATGGCATGAAGTTAAGAGATGTTTTTTAATTTATTGTTGTAGTGCAGTTGTGATGTTTTAATGTTGAGCAACTTCAATTGTTTGTTTGTTTTTTTCTTTTGTTTTAATTTTACCATTAATTCAAAGTAAAGCTACAGTTTTGACACTTGTTGATTTTAAGGTGTTGGTTTGTCTCATTTTTCTGAACTGAGTTCAAATTAATATTTCTTAAGGTAAAATATAAACAATACGTTGAGATCTTGAGTTGCACATTGACAGCCAGTGAACACTATTGGAGAAAAGTTGCATATATTGAGTTGTGGAAGAGGAGATCTTATATTGAACCGTGCTTATGGCACCTTCTACTGGAGGTTCAGATACTACTTCAGACAGACCAACTCAGAAGTGAGTTCAGTCCTTCAATCGAAGTCCCTGATAATCTACGTGTTGGGGTTCTGATTGAAAATTAACTGCATTCATTTGTAAGAGTATCTTCGATGAAAAAGTGGTTGCTTGCTAACAGCAAACACCACCCTAGTGTTGCTTGCTATTAAGCAAAAGAAAGTCTAAGGTTGGGCTGTGATTCACATGCCCTCTACTGCACCGCAATGTTGCTACTTCAAACACAATCAGAGTTTTAGATCTTTGGATGAAGAATGACAGCTGTAGACTGTGAACTTCTGCTGTAGCTTCATGTCCAGCAGATAATCAAACTGCTGATTTTACCACATTAAACAGGTTAACATCATTTTTTTCTTTTTTTGTGGTTTTTTTTTTTTTTCACTTTTTTCTTTCTTTTTTTTGTGTTACTTTTTTTTTTTTTTCATTTTAGGTAAAACTTTTTTTCTGTTTTATTTGTTGAGACATCTTAGGCAAACATTTGTTTGGTTTTGTTTTTTGTTGCTCATTCAGGTGGTGTAAAGATTTAAAAGATGTCGAAGGACTTTGGTGCAGTTGTTGTGTGACGTGGCCTGAGTTTCTGATTTGAAAAATTTGCATTTGCAGTGAGAACAGAAAGAAGATGTGGACACAGTTGTGTCCTGTGTCCAGTGTGGGTTTACCTTTGTGGATTTATTCCTAATACCTGTGGACAGTGTGGTTCAACAGACTGTTTTTCTTTGTGAGTTTGCGTGAAGTTATGTTAAGTTACGTCAGTTGTTTTTGTGACACAGTTTCCATCAGGAAAATGTGTTGTTGTTTTTTTTCTTTTTTTATATTATTAGCATCAGAAGGCAGAAGAAAAAGAAGGAACCAAAGCTGTAGCTTCCACAGTTGAAGAGTTTCTTACAACTGTGAGAAGGTGAAGGACGTTTAGAGAAGGTGTTGGATGGAAACTAGAAGGGAAGATTTAGAAGAGTTCATCTCTCATGCCATGCCACGCCACACCCCCTTTAAAACAAACAAGTTGGAAAAACAAAGTATAAAAGGACATAGCAGACTGGTTGAATTCAGTATGAAAGTGTAGCGGATGCTCCCTTTGTGTCTGACAGACATGGTGTGGTTGTATCCTCTGATGGTGATCTGTTGGTTTACGGTTGCCATCATTCAGACTTTTCTCACCCTCCTATTTATCTCTGACAGAAGCGTGCACTTCACCTCTGACCTGGC